GGGCAGGTAGGGACCGCGCGGCCACGAGGGACACGCAGGGCGCATGGTCACCCAACGCTCCAACTCCAGCGCACTGGTGTTATGGCTAGGAAGCACACGTCAGCTTTATTATTTCATTAGTTATTTTTTGTGTTGCTGTTCAAGTGAGTATGTAACAAGGTTTGGGACTTTTTAATTTTTTTTTTTTTTACGTTAAACTAGATGAAAATGTATGGGCTTGTGGGCCTGTTTGAAGAATGTTATTGCAGATTTTATGAAGTTGGTGCCTTTAGGTCCTGTTACTTCTAAAGAGGACAAAACTACTGAATTGAAGGCACTTCTGATTTTGGCATAAAATTTGATTTGTTTGTTAAAATGTTGACCTCTTAATTTGATGATAAAATAAGCATCAGTTTCAGTTGTGTTTATTTGACTGTAATCTTCATATGCACTTTATAAAGTTCTTTGTTTAAAATACCAACTTTCTCTTGCTCTCATTGTGGTAGGAAGAATATTAGAATTTCTAAAGGTTCATATTAAAAGCCACAATGTAACATTAGGAAACGCTGCTACTTCTAGCGGGTTTCTTATCTGGTCTGTTTAATGTGACTTCCGTTGGCAGTGGGTCCCAGGGGAGCACGAGCCCCGCAGCAGCGCCCAGCGGGTCCAGGTGCCCTCGGGCCTGGTTGGTCGGGGCCCTCTGCAAGGCTGGGGAGTGCAGCGGGGAACAAAACCCATTTGTATTTAGCCTCACAAAGTCTTCTAAAAGACAGTGTGATACAGTGCTGGGTTATTATAAAATACTTCACTGCTTTCTTTCCCATGGAATATTTATTTTAAAAAATGTTACTAAATGTTCAAATTTATCATGAAATTAATCTGCATCACAATCAAGTCTGCTCTTTGGTTCTTAAATACTCTCGTGTTACATGCTCCAGGTTCATCATGGTTGTACAAAGTGGACAGCATAAATTAACATGAAGATCTGGAATTCTGGAAAGTTTCTGGAAAGTAATTTTATCTAATATTCACTGTTTGTTGGCAGATCAAAAGTGTCTCGGGTTTGTTGTTAGTTAGTCACTGAAATCGATGTTATAAAATACTCCTAAACCCTTTTTTTGCATGACCCCTGTTGGTCGCTCTTCAGCGGGGTGGCTGCAGCCCGAGCACCGTGCCTGTGCGCGGAGGCGCTGCCCTGCTCATGGCTGGGTTTGGC